GTGTCTTTGACCTAGCTATTGAATTGCGGTGATTTTTTCTGGTGTCTGTGACCTTGGTGGTTTTTTTGGTATCTGTGACCTTTCTGGTGTTTGTGACCTAGTTATTGAACTGTGGTGATTTTTTCTGGTGTCCGTGACCTTTCTGGTGTATGTGACCTATCTATTGATCTGTAGTGGTTTTTTCTATTGAATTTGTAACTAAAAAAGGAATCTGTGACCCACAAATTTGAAAACTGTGACCTATAAAAAACTTTTTGTGATCCCAAAATAATCTGTGATCAATGAATTTGATAAGTTGTGATTGAAATTAAATTTTCAACTATTTAATAAGATATTTATGACATTGGAATCGAAGCAGTTACCGGATTTAAGCGGCGGCCAACGGTCACCGAAAAATGGTCGCGGGAATTAAGCGCTATGGAGAACAGTTGCCGGAGTAGTCGTCGGAGTAGTGGAGGTGGTGGAGGTGGGGTAGAGTGGGGTGGGTCAATTATATTATATTATAGTTAAATATTTAATTTAATAAATTAATTGTAAAATATAATTAATTAATTCATGAAAAACCTGAGTTTTGTAAATTTAAACCTTATGATCTGATTTTTGATTTCGTGAAAGATAATCCCTAACCTATAAGTTTTTCCCCATGTTTTAACTTGTAAGGCCAAGTACAAACTACTATTTATAAAAAAACACGTGAACACTTTAAAAGTCACAACAATGGGCTGGCCTTTTTTTTTAGAAAAAAAAAGATGCTCGAGCTTTTTCCTCACCTCTTTCTTTTTTGTTTTATGTAATAGTAAGGTAATTAATTGAGTGGGTGGTTTTTTTTTTTTTTGTTAATTTTATGTAGCATATTTGGCACACAAGACTATTAGTTTTTGTTTGAATTTAAGCACCCGATCAACCTCTACCTATGATAGCAAGGCAATCTCGAAAATACTTTTCTATAGCTTCATTCTACTTGAATTGTCCTTTCTTCAACGTGGTCTGATGGTTTAGTAATCTTTCAAGAATTTCTCACAAGTGTCTTTATAATAATACCAGCTAAAGTATGAAATGCCTCTCAAGAATTTCACACCGGTGGGAGGTGTCTACATAGTCATGCTCTCAATTTCCAGATATATTTAAATCAAGACCCTCTCTGAAATGATACGATCCTAAAAATCTATCCATGATTTCCCACATTTGTTTTTTGACGGTTCAACATAAAGTTCCTGTTCCCTTTATTGAAAAAGATGATGTAGTGTGAAAAATTTGTTTGCTAATTAATTTTATGATTTAAGTTGACTAACGTAAATGCATCTCGTCGTGTGTCGTGCTTTTTTTTCTTAATTTCATTCATTTATAAAAATTACATTTTAAAAGCACAATTTGTCTAACAATATGTATTTTTATATCAAGTCATTCTTTATGTTAGCAGCTAGCCACAACAAGAATGTCTAAATTGGTACAAAAATAAATGTAAGTGACCAAGAATAAAAAAATGGGGCCAACTGAAACTAACACCATAACTTGGGTGACCAACTGTCTTTATAATCAGTCATCACCGCCTCAAAATCTCAGTCTCACAGCCAAAAAGGAAACTCTAGAAATCACGTTCACTCGCAGAATTCCACAACATTGCTCTGTTCATGGATCTTTACGAGAAACGGGTTGTCCTAATAACCGGATGTTCAGGTGGGGGCATAGGCCACGCGCTGGCCCGTGCTTTTGCCGCCAAGAATTGTCTGGTGGTGGCCACCGCCCGGTCACTGGCGTCGATGTCTGATTTTCAAGATGACCCACGATTCTTCCTCCAAGAGCTCGACGTATCATCCGGAGAGAGTGTTCGTCACGCGCTTTCGACTACTCTGGAGAAGCTCGGCCGCATAGATATTGTAGTCAATAATGCTGGAGTACAGTGCATTGGTCCCCTTGCTGAGGTCCCTTTACCCGCAATTGAACACACCTTTAATACTAATCTTTATGGTAATAGACTCTTTTTGCTCTTTTTAGTGTTATGGTTGTATTTTAACTTTGATTAGTTGAATTGAAATTTTTGTTGTCAATTCTTAGTGGGCTTGTGTGTAATGTGCTTGGAAATGCTTTTTCAACAATTTTTTCAACCTCATCGGTTCCCTTTGCTGAGGTCCCTCAATGAGTGTATCGTTTAGTTGGGTCTTGGATTGGTCCGAATCAATACGATATTTTTCGTAGTTTGAATGGGTTTCTTATTTATGTCATCTGATTTTATTGTTTGAGGTTAAAAGCAGATAGGTATATAGATGTATTGTAGCTATTGTGATGATGTATTTGCAATTGATGATTAAGTGCTTGTTTGGTAGGGATTTTTGAGGGGAAGAATTGTTTTTGAATAGTGATATGATGGGAAATGTGTGGTTGAAAAAGAAGAAAAAATGTGTTGTTGAAAATGAAAATTGATTTACTGTAGAATTTTGAGAATATCCACCAAACAGGGCCTAAATGATTGCATCGTTTAGTTATTTCTTGGATTAGTCTGACTCAAGATGATATTTTTCAAAGTTTAAATTGGGTTTCGTATTTAATCTCTCTGATTTTGTTGTTTGAGGTTACATGCAGATAGAGTTTTACCTGGTTATTGTGTTGATATAGTAGTTTGTTTTGGCTATTATCAGTCGTGAGAATGATTGTGTATTTCAGTTATATATATAGTTTCGGAAGTGTGCGATGACAATTTTTAAAAAAAAGTAAAATCAAAGCTACAAGTACTGTCATGTTATTAATGAAAGATGTAAAAAAAAAAAGAAGAGTTCAACTTAGGAGGGGGCCTAGGCCTCACCTCCAGCAAGAAGTAATAAAAACAAGTCAGTCTTGTCCCAAAATAATGTGGGCCATACATGAGATGAATCAAGTAGAATTTGGTCAAAATTAAGGGGATCTCTGTTATACATTTTAGGTGGTGATGTGGGCCTTACATGAGATGAATCAAGTAGAATTTGGGCAAAATTAAGGGGAGCTCTGTTATACATTTTAGGTGGTGACCGTCTGCTGGCTGGTGTGGGTTGTAGGTTGGTGGCAGTTTTAGTAGGGTCTGGCGCCACCCCTTAATGGGGGGAGTTAGAGAGAGCATTATTCGGAACAGAAATTTATGTGAACAGAATTTAATATAAGGAGTTAGGACATTGTGATTACTTTTAGGTTACCATTTTTTGGGTATTTTTTGCTGTAAGATTGCTATGGGAGTATTTTTATAGGAGTATGAATTCTGATCACAGAGGCCCTCATATTCAAGTCTCTTGCCATGTTCATGATTAGTACATAACTCCTATCTCTTTGGCACCTAAAATTTGAGTGATATTGAATATTGTTTTCCTTTAAGATTTTAGAATTTATGTGCCAGAGTACTCTTTTCCAAATTAGCATTATGAGATCACTTTTCATGTTTTTGTGTATTCCTTGTGTTTCAAAATATGAATATGTTCTGTTAATTTCCTTGTTCTTCTTTAGGTAATAAAGAATTGTATTTGATTAATTGCGAAACCACCTGTTAGTTTCTTTGGCATCCCAAGCATTTGTCCATTAAGGTTGATATTGTGTTTTTCTACATAGGTGCATTGAGGTTAATCCAAGCCGTGGTCCCTCACATGGCATCTAGGAAGAAGGGTAAAATTGTGAACATCGGAAGTGTCACCGTCTTGGCCCCTGTACCATGGGCAGGTGCTTACACTGCATCAAAAGCTGCTCTACATGCACTAACTGATACTTTGAGGTTCGTACAAATTTTCTTAAATTCCTGATTTATTTTTAATCCACTGTTAATTTAGTTAATATTTTAAAGGAGCTAAATCTTCCTCTTGTTCAAAGAGGAAGTTGTAGTAGTGGAACTCAATTTATTTTCAGCATTTTTAGACTGCAAAGCTGCAGGTTGCTTTCATTGATAAATATTTGAGCTTTGGACATGGAGTTTTAATTTTGGCCCTCCTGTTCCTTGGTTGGATCATTAACAGACATACTTATTTGGAAGAAGTGATTATGGATATATGTTGTAACTGACGAAGCTTGATATTTGATGCAAATGACTGATTATCCATAAAAAAACAATTACAGGATAGAGTAATTGACGCAGAACGCAATGAGCAAGAAAGAAACTCGTAGAAGAAGGAAAAAAGGAAAAAAGGAGAAGAGAAGGGAGAGAATGAAGAGAAATTGGAGGGGAAATATGAGTTTATTCAATAATCAAGTCTAACTATTACAATGCATAAACCCACTTGGGTTTCAAGTAACTTAATTTGAGTAGGAAAACAACTAAAAAAATAATAAAAAATGCTATAAAACCTAGAAATAAAATTCTAATTACGTTTCCTAAAATAAGTATTTAATTTGGAAAGTCTTCCATATAATATCTCTACTAGTATTCCCATTGGTAACTAAGCAACAACTATGACTTGAAATGAACATGGTGTGCTTTTAAAGCGAACTCTGGAAGCCATTTACCGATGGAATAGTGGAGAGAGGAGAAATTGTTCTAGTTTAGTCTTGACTTAAGATGTTTCATCAACTTACTGTTCCTGTTTTATCATTGTGGTGGATTATATAGAAGAAAGAAGTTACCCATAGATGCAATGAGAGACATAGGATTTACTTGATGTAATTTAACGGTAAGAAGAATAAATGCCGGAAAAAAGTTTAAGACTGCTATTATCGTGGATTTGGAGCTTTAAGCATTTTAAGACTGGGACAATGACTTCAATTGCTTTAGATTTGAGCACCCAACTCGAAGATAAGATCAAGAATTTTGATACCATTTTTGAAGGGATGGGAGTTGTTTTATGAGCTCTTCTGAATACAATACAGTATTAATCATTTTGGATTTGGGTTGTGTGTCTGTCTCCTATAAATTCCACTAGATTACTAATTTAAAATGATTAAAAGTAAATCCAGAAATGGAAGATGTCCAAGCCTGATGCAAGTATTATTAAAAAAAATTTGGGCCAATTAAAATGAAAACTAAAACTAGAAGAGGTACAAGCTGACACAAGTGTTCTAAAAAATCTAAGGTTTTTGATTATGAACTGCAACCTTTTAAGATAAAACCCTGAGTTTCAATATAGTATTAGAGCTAAACTAGCTCAAACGAGCAGTTTGATTGGCCTATAATCGCATGTCGTGCAAACTTCCTACTAGGGGCTGCTATGCCAAAAGTGAGAGAAATCCATACATCTCTTTCCTTTTTCGCAACGATATCGCAACACGGGGGGACATGGGGACATAAAAAGAGGAATTCTATCAACTTGTTCCAACCTAGGATAATAGGCTCATGAGCTTGATCTTACTTCAATGTCGAGACATGAAAGAAGACATTGAATTCCTCTTGAGGTTCACAACCTCGTAATTATTTGTCACCAGAGCACACAATAATTCGAAGTGCCTATGAAGAGGAAATATAGTTTCCAAGCTCCGAATGTTGATAGAAAGAGAGATTGAGTAAAAGAGAGAGATGGATTACGATATAGAATTAGGTGTACATAAATATTGTGTGAGATTATAGCTCCATTTGGGTGTTGGAAATTGGAAAGATGTGGGTTTCCAACTGTTGACTATTATACAATGAAGTCGGACCTTATCAATCTTCTGGTTGAAGCTTGTAGCCTTGTAGTGTTACTATTCATTGTTTATTTTCATGTGCAAAAAGGGAATGGATCATTAGAACTGGTGATAATTTGTGGTGGTTCACTTTTTTCTTTCTTTTCTTTTTTTTTTCTTCTTTAAATTTAATAGGTAATCTTACTTTAATACCTTTGAAACAGACGCACATGCTGTGGGACACATTTTGAAGTTTATAAGTTTATATTTTTAGACATCTAGAAATTGGACCACCATTATGATTAAATTGAAACTTTGGGATTAACTTGTTGGTGCTGGAAATTAGAGATAAACCTGATTTCGTTTTGAAACTTCAGGGACTATTAATTCTATTTTGAAACTCTACTAATAGGACCAGATTAGGACTATTGTAACTAGACCTAATGCATTGAAAGAGAACAAGATTTTGTTCACATCAATTTTTACTTGTAGTTAGGCTAGCCTAATAACAGACAAGATTAAGGGAAAAAAGTTTGATAGAGTTTGTCGCTAACTTAAGAAGGAAAATTTAATATGGTTGAACGTTTAACCATATAAAAAAGTTTAAATACATTATTTTTCTACTTGAAAAACAAAAATAACGACTCTGTATGTTTTGACATCCTAACTGGATTACACTTGATCAACTCCTACAAGAAATTGGACATGCTATGTTCTATGGTTCCGAATGTTGGGCTATTAAAGGTCAAAATGTCCTTAACATAAAGATGCTAAGATTGTTTGATCATATTAAATTAGATAAGATAAAAAATGAGAATACACGACATAAAGTTGAGTTGGCAAATATTGTTGATAAATTAGGGAAAACACAACTTAGATGGTTTATAATTTACGTAGAACTAAAGAGGATGTCGTCCATAAGAGTCACGCGGTTGTCATAGAACAAAGTTAAAAAGAGGAGTACTTAAAATTAACACAGCCTGTTGTTGTTGCTAAAGATTTAGTTTCTTTAGATCTTCCAGATCTAGCAACGAACCTAATTAGGTGGAGTAAAAAAGATTCTTACAGTGGATCCTAAATTTATTAGGAGCAAGGCTTAATTTGTTGTCTTTTTTTGCTGTGTATTTTCCTACTATAGTGAAGAAACCAAGTAATAAAGAACGAGTAGAGTATGTGATGGATATCATATTAGATTATTATATGAAGACTTTTCTTGTTTAGATTCTTATTTTGAGACTAGGTTTTTTAGAATTTTATTATGTTTATTTACTAGATTATCTAGGATTTGATTAGATGTATCCTACTTACAATACCTCGAATTCCCATGTATTGTTTCATTTTAATATTAATTCAAGAAGTTGACAACACCTATTTGAATTGAAGATCAATGTTCCTATTTTATTTAATAAATAATCTCTCTCGAGTAATGTTAAAACTATCTTCACATATAACCTTAATATATTTCTATGAACGATGCGAACATATGAAGATGTATTAAATCAAAAGAATATTCAATAAGATTTTGCATGAAGGTATATATCTATCCTTTATTGGATTTGACAATAATTGTAATCACGTGCTATAATTCCTATTCTTTCTTTTGAACAAAATAGAAATTACAAATATAATCAATTATTGATCTAAGTAATTAGAAACATTGAAAACCTAACAAATCTTTCAAACTAAACAAATAATTAAAGTCAAAATCTGGAAATTAACATTAAAATATAAGCCTAACGATCATTCAAACTAAACAAATATTAAAGTTAAAATCAGGAAATTAACATTAAAGTATCAAAAGAAAGGGTTCATCGTTATCGTGGCATCTATACGATTAGTTGAGTATCATGTGATTACAAACACGAATTTGATTGATAATACATCACTTGTGATTTAAGTGTAAAAAGAAGATGAAAAATAATGTTAAAATGTTGTATCTATTCAACACTTATAATTTTCTTGAATCTTCTTCATCAAAATCCAAGCAACAGTATGAAATTCTTTGTAAGGAATATGTGTTTTGTATCTAAAAGATTTTGCATTTGAATGATTGATAAATAAATGTATTTATAGTCCCCAACTTAGGTTAAAACTAGTGCCCTAAATTTTATTCCATGTAGAAGTAAATTTGGATCAAGAAAGAAATTTGGACTAGCTCGTATGCCCATGCAATTGCATGGTCGAAGTAGTTGATCGCACAGTTATAGCATTGAACTTGCTGGTCACATAGGCCATTTTCTTGCGATTGCAAAGCTATAACTTTTTTGCCACACTCAAGTTGGTTCTGGACTCTCCTCTTTTGTTCAGCTGAAGTCAATTCTTATTTACGTCATGGGTTCTTTATCTTTCAATTCTTTACAATTTGATCTTCATCCTCCACAATCATCCATAATTCATCCGTTTTCGAGTTCCGAAAGTTTGTATTTTAGTCCCGAACTCTTTCCCACTGATGAATTTAGCTCTCGAAACTTGTAAATCTTCTCCGTTTGCTCTTTTCATACTTCTTATAATTCACTAGCAATTCTATTAGCCTTCAATTGCTCCGAATCAACTCAAATTAAGCTCAAAATCGCCTTTCTTCGGCTAATTGCATCAAAGTCCAGATTTTTCATTCAAGTAACATAATTACACTAAATTAGGTAGGTATCCGCTCGCTCAGCCATAATTCATAAAGTTTAGAAGCATGGATAAGTGTGTAAAACATACTTATTAATCTTAAATAATTGGACCTAGTCTACGTTTTAGTTTGGATCTAGAACTTTCTTTTGGCCGTCTTTAGATATGAATTACATTGTTGTTAGAACTACGCCCATCCTTTCCCTTTAACAATTGGAAACATATATATATACTTTGTCAACAATTCGTTTCAAAACTAATTTTACTATTTGGTCTTAATAATTTTGTATAAGTAAATAAGTCTCCATCCATGTGTTGTGCTTCTATTGGATCTTTTGNGGAATTGATGTGATTAACATTGTTCCGGGAGCCATCAAGTCGAATATAGGGAATTCTGCTTCAGCCAGTTACAGCAAAATGCCAGAATGGAAATTGTACAAGCAGTTTGACGAAGCGATTCGAGCAAGGGCAAACTTGTCACAAAGCCTAAAATCTACTCCTACTGAAGAGTTCGCGGAGAAGACTGTCAATGTAGTGCTGAAGGATAATCCACCTGCTTGGTTCTCTACAGGCCATCTCTCTACTGTAATGTCAATAATGCATCACCTGCCACTTTCAATTCGAGATTTTATTCTCAGGAAAAGATTCAACTGTTGAGGTACATTCTCGTTTTTTTATTGGCCCCAAGGATCTTATTTGTATATTATTATTAAATTTGCTCTGGAAACAAGGTTGTTTTGCCTCTAGTAGGCCGACACACCAAAAAGAAAAGGCAAAAAAATTATATGTTACACTGTTATATTCTAATTTAAAAACAATTAAGGCAGAAACAAAATGTTATTTTCTGAACTAAGGTATCTGTAATTTGCTCGCGCGTTTGCTCAGAACATATAATCCTCGATTACTTGAATTATAGTGGTTCTTGGTTTCAATGTATCTGGGTGTTTGGATGAGTATAGTTTCATGTTTAGCATTCAAAATATCCTTCTTCCGACCTCTGCTCCCCCTTCCACTAGGACGACTAGGATTGGAATGCAAGGTGCGCTTGAGGCAGGAGAAGGTATTCAGGTGATGTGTTGCTCTCATCCTCTTGAATATACGATCTTCGACTCTATTTGAATTCATTGGTTCATATTGTGATGATAGCTGCTGGCCTTGTATGTTTTGCTTTTGGGCTAGTTTCCTTAGCAATATTCACTGAACTAGTTACCTTGTGATCATTTTATCATTTGAAGACGACGATTTACTAGAACTAGACAAAATTCCAGGTACCAACTCCTCCACAGCACACGTGATTAGCTGCTAATTTTAACTCAACGATTTTTAACATGATTCATAATAGAATAATGCTATCTAATACTGGTCTAAATTTCTGCACTTTATAAATTCAATTAAATTAGTTATGTGACTTTACATTTAAATGAATTTATCATTTAATGTCATGTAATTGTCATCTAAATTGGTGCTTAACACCAGTGATTATAATATCATTACTCTTCATAATACCATTTTCTTTGTAAATAATTTTCATGTTTGTTTGACTTTGAAGGCTACAAAGAAATTCATGCCTTGAGAGGAAGTTTCTTGCCAATTGTCTCAAGCTGGGTTGTTTGGTTCAATTTGACATTTGGTGTACTCATGTTTATTTGACTTTGAATTGGTCTTTTCTTATGAAATTACGTGGAAACTTTCTAAGCTCATGTTTGGTACACATTAAAATTTTCTTTATCATTCTTCTACTCATTTTCAACCACATGTTTTTTAATAAAATAATATTTTTCATCACATCAATAACTTTTCTTTCTATTTCAACCACGCATTCTCCATCAATTTACTATTTCAGAATATGTGGCTCAAAGTTTCTTTTTCTTCGTCACAATTATGAGAGGAACATGTGAATGTCAACTTTTTTTTTTAATGGAACAAACCAAGAAACTTCCATTAAGTAACATCACTGCAAACACTAGAAGGGAGAAACAACGGAATTTAATCTATGGACAATTATTTTTATTTCTCAAAAATGCCAGTGATATGCTCATCGAAAATATAGATATTTTTTAGGTAATAAAATTTAAAACTTGGAAACTTTGCTTGGAATGGACAAGATCAACGATTTAATAGAAAATATTTTATTTTATTTTCATTTTGGATTACAGTATAGTTCACATTTTACTGAACAAGCTAACAAATATACAAACAAAATTTGAAGCACGTTTATTGCTTAGACAATTTTTTCAAGGACGTTAAAAAATTGAGATTTTCAATCTTGATCCCTAATTTAAGTGTGCTCCTCCCAAAAAAAATTCTATGGCCTGTGGAATCCTTTGGTATCACCACATCCCATTATTGATGTGGGCAATGAGCCCAGTTTCTCAATTCCTTCTTCAAATACAACTCCCATGCCCATGAAGAAATGGAACTCTATATGGCAATGAAAAGCCCATACTCCCGGGTTATTGGCCAGAAATCTTAAAGCAGTCCATCCATATGGATGAACAGCCACTGTGTTTTTCATAATTGGGTTTACTAGGTTGTAGTTTTTGGGATCCTTAGTTTTGTCAAACTTGCCCTTGCCATAGCCCACAACCCAAAAATCATGTCCATGTAAATGCCATGGATGTGTCTCACTATTGTTTGGGTCCATTTTGTTGGCATTCTGCAATATGATATCCACTGTTGTATTGAACTTCAATCTGTAGATTCCAGTTCTTGTAGTGGCATTCACATTCTTGGGAACGCTGTAAATGTCGTAGTTCGCAAAGTTGTACCCGTCTGGGGGAGGAGAAGGGTCGAAGGCATGGGTTAAGTTGTGTTTAAGCGCAATGAGATATGGCGTGTGTGGGAGATTGTATGAGATGTTGTTGACTGACCAACGGACATTGCCGTTGATACGGTTTTGTGTATTGAGCATGACGATTACTCGGTCAGATGTTTGAGGAGGAGGGTGGATGTAACCTTTATGTGATTTCATTGCAATGCTTTGAGCCAGTCGTGGTTCGGTGTCATTCCAATGTGGTCTGAGAGGTGGGAACGTTGGAGGGTTTCGTCGTGGATGGTTCGGATAATAATTGAAGATGGCTAATCCATTTGTAGTATTGCTGGGCCTGCTTACAATTTTTGCGCTTGCCCAGTAGTTTCTTGAAGGATCTTGATTGGCCGTAACTAGGACGGAATACGTCTCACCGGAGTAGATGAACAAGTTTTTGACAACAAATGGTTCAACATAGTGACCGTCAGCTTCAACAACTGTCATGTTATGGCCTTCTATTTCAAAACTCAATGCTGATAGGGCCGTTAGGCTTCCGATTCGGAGACGATACGTTTTTTGAGGAATCACTGTCAATGCATAAGGTGTGCATTCAGGATTTGTGGCATTGCAAAGACCTGCTCGAATGCCTGGTGTACTGCAATCGAACCTTCCCTTACCTTGTATCAGAATAGACTGAAAATTTAAAAGAAACCCATTAGTCACTTGCACACAACCTCGTTCAATTTCATATGTAATATAACTACTACTTAAAACCGGCTTCCAAGGGGAGAGTGTCATGAGCTATAAGGTGGAGCCAACACCCGGCGAGTCTTAGTTGGAATTTTTTTTTTCCACTTATAGTGGGCGGCAGCTTGAGTGGCCGTCAAGCGTTCGCCCTAACTCAGATGAATCCCTCGATCAGCCAATGATCATGTTCTGTTGTGCTTAGTTACTTTTTAAAGTACAACCAAAAACATGCTTTTTAAGTCTTAACAATGTGAGATACAATTAAAGTCATTATAGACGGGATTACGTTGGGATAAACTTACTTGAGGTTCTCCAACCCAAACAAAGGATTTTGAAGAAAGGCCAGCAGCTTGTTCATATGTGCTATTGTGATACCAATCAGTAAGGATTATACTTCTATCATAATCATACCAAAAGGGCTCGGATTCTCCATCGGGAAGTGATACACGAATTGATCCGTACAGCCCTGCTTCTCTTTGCATACCATAGTGTGCATGGTATAAATATGTCCCTGGCTACAGAACAAGGAAAACACATAATGAACTACTGAACCAACGACTGAAATTTCATTTGGTTCCGCCTGAAAACTGACGCAAGACATGACTTTTCACGAGTTATGTGGGACGACTCAAAAACAGTCGCAAAGGTTTAATTAAAGAAGAACGTACTCTATCGACAATAAATTTGTACACAAAGGTGTTTCCAGGCAGAATAGGACACTGTGTCACCCCTTCTGTTCCATCGAACCAAGGCGTTCCAACCTGTAAAATACACGAATTCCTTAGTCGACATCCATGAACTCGTTACGCCTCTTCCAAAGAGAATCTACAAATGACCACATCGCAGCCAAGTAGAGAGCCCACACTCCATATCATTCTGCCCATGTGGCGATTTGCCGAACCTCCATGAAGAGGCCGAACCCCCGTGGAGAGGTCGAATCCATGTGATGTGCCGAACCCTCTTTTTTCACTAAATTTTGTATCAAAAAACGAAATTGGTGAACAAGAATCAGCAAGTCACCTGTCTTATTCCATGCCAATGGATTGCAACATTTTCTGTTAACAAACTATTCTTGAGCTCTACAATAATTGTATCCCCCTTCTGCGCAATGATACTCGGCCCCGGGGTTCGACCATTGATGGTAATTGCTAGCTTTTTATAGCAATCTGGAGATTTAAATTCATACTTCACTTCCCATTTGTAATGGCGAACTCTACCCTCAACCAATGGAACGGTAAAAAAACAAACTAAAACAAAATATGCTAAGAATTTCATCGACCTACTCCCAAGAAACTTCACCGTTTCTTCAATTGAAAAGCTGAGTACGAAAAGAACAGAGATAGAATCAGACCGAACTCGACTAAACGAAAAATGGTACAGTCCTATCAAACTAACAAATTTTAGAAATTTGCTTGGTTGCAAAAAAGCTTTAATTGTGTATTCCTTTATACATACAGAGGCTTTCTTGATTATTAAGTAGAGTGGATCAAAAATGAAAATGTCTGACGTTTGACCAGTCGCAACTCGCAAGTTGTCTCTGTACAAAGTTTTTTGGTAAGACTTGCTAAAACGAGTAAACAGTAACGATATTTCGTAGAAGGTAGAGAAATGTTTGAAAACTCAAAGCCTAGGCTTTCTGAATTGAAATGGAGATATTTATTTAAAAAAAAATAAAAGATCAAAATATATTATTTGTTATTTTATTTAAAATAAATTTTTTGGCAAATTTTCTATAATTGATTTTTCGAAATAACTAGGCTTTGAGTTGAAATGGAGATATTTATTAAAAAAAAAATGAAAAGATCAAAATATATTATTTGTTATTTTATTTAAAATAGTTTTTTGGAAAATTTTCTATAATTGATTTTTCGAAATAACTAGGCTTTGAGTTGAAATGGAGGTATTTA